GGCAATAAGGAAAACCTTAGCAACAGGAATTTGGGAGGACTTACCTGTATAATTTGTCTGGGTTGGAGTTCTGGGTAGATTTCATTGCAGCAGAAACAGTCTGAAAGACAAAAGAGAGGGGGCAATAGATGAAGCTTTTCAATAAAGAAGATGCAACAAAAGAAATCCATACCCAGAAGCGAATCGTCTACCTGCTGCGGGGTGTAGGCGGGCGGCGGTGGCCGGGCTTGGGCGGTGTCCTCGGTGGGAGCATCAGCATTTTGTGGAGGGTCGGAGGTGAGCAGGACAGGGCACCGAGCTAGAGGAGAGCCTGTGCTCTCCAGATCAGCAAGGAGGGCATCTGGAGGAGAGAGAGGGGGAAAAGAAAGTGAATAAGGGAGAGAGAGAGCGGAATAATGAAACATGTATGCTGTTACAGGTGACTAAAGTTAGTTTAGATGTACAATTTGATTTAGCTTCAAGTTGTTTTCGAGAAATAAAGACAATTAACTACCCAACAATGTATCTTTAGAGTTGTCCCTGATGGTATTGTCAGTTTGTTTGTGAAGCATCAACGTTACACAGAAAGAGATGAGTTAAGAAACAGATTTAAAGACCATGCAGTGCAGATGGAGATTAAAAAACAGACTGGACAATCGACTGAACACATTAAGCCAAGGCAATGTTAAACAAGTAAAATCAGACAGAATGAAACATGCAAACACATGCACAGACAGTTACGTACCAAACACAACAATACGAGGACTGAGAGGGTAGTTAGGTGGCTCAGGCACTCCTAAGGAGAGACAGAGAGCCTGTGTGACCAACACAGCAGCAGCAAAATCAGCCCACACATCAAGACACGACGAGGAGGACAGTAAGCGTCCTCAGACACTAATCAGTCAGAGGACAGGACGGTCAGAGTTGGCACAACCCAGAGATAATCCCTCGACACAGTAAAGCTTTTAGAACACACACACACACATTTCTGCATTCATATCCAAGACATGCCAGCATGGAAAGGAAGCAGAGGAGGAAGAGTGTTTGGCAACTGATATCTAAGTTCAGTCCACCCCTCCCTCCTTATCACACACTCAATCCATGCTGAAAGTGGAAGTTGTTCGGAAGCTGACATCATTCAGTGCTGACAAGTCCATGTACGTGCGAACGAAGGCCAAAGCGAGACTGTAAGAAGCGGGCTGAACATGAGTAATAACCAACTTGAAGTTGTAGAGGACAGGCTGCTGTCCAACGCTGACTGAACCTTTCACACTGATGATACAATACTGAGCATAACTGAGTGCTTCCCAACCGTCTGTGGCTTTTTGTACCCCCACAGCCCGATCAGTAGCCTTTTATCGACACCATCCCTCGTGTTCCTAACGCATTTATGTTAGGTTAACTTGATTTATATGATTTAACAATATTAAAGGGCCAACCAAGTCATTTAATATGGCACTTCCCAAAAGCTGTGGGACTTGCAAGAGACACATTAATCTGTAATTAAAGTGTGTAGGATTCAGCGGCATCTAGCAATTGTTATTTTCAGGTGATTATACACTATGGCTGAATATTACTCCTCGTGATGAAGGAGCTGGTCTTCATGGGTAAAGTTGGTGGTGTGCCCCTTTAATTAGATGAACGTGAGTAGTTTTTTCTATTCAGTGAGTATTAACACAATCCCGACTGTATCTCGTAGGTTGGTGTCCTGTGTAATTGTCTTATCATAGCTGGCAGTGTATTGATTATTAATATACGATAAATATATATACACCCTGGCACCCTCTGATCACCGCTCCTAACAGCGCCTCAACAGACAGGACAACAGAGACAGGATCTGGGGTGATGAGGTCTGGAGCACACGCTTGTAGTCGGAGCCCTTTTTAACAAGGCGCTGTCCCTTGTTAAAAAGCTTTAATTATAACCATGTGTACCAGACCTCATCACTGCAGATAAATCACTTAACTTTGCTTCGGTAACCATTTTGCAGCTGGTCTGGACATTTTAGGACTTCAAGGAATTATTGTCAATGTTGGCTCACGAGCTGAGCTACAAGGTTCATTCTTGACCTTGGAAACAGCAGTTGTGGACACCACAAGGTCCATTTTATTATATTTATTCCATGTAATACAGCCACTAAATGGACCTTGTGGTGAGACTGTTTTCTAATGTGCTGTTTCTGAGGTCAAGAACGAACTGTGAACCTCAGATTCTCACATTCTGGTAGCCTTCGCGGACCGATATCATGGATGTTTGATTGATTAGACATCTGTGGTGATGGGTTAGACATGATAAAGCTAAACTAATTCACCCTGCTGCGGTCACTTCTGCCCTGGATGATTCACACTTCTGGTACGACCATGTGGTGAGAATCTTGTGCATATACTACTTGCCCTCCTCCTCCCTGCTGTCTGTCTCTGTTTCTTACACACACACACACACACACATACTCTTACAGACTTAACTGCTCATATAAGGAGCTGAACGTCTCTCAATGGGAATTATGACCATATTTAGAGCTGCCTGTCGACTTGTTTGTCTTGGCCAAAGGCCTCTCTAACAAGTGGTCTCTCTCACTGAAAAACCTCGCCAGATCCAGTACATAAACTTACAACATTGTTGGACAACAGCGTAAGCCGAGTGTCTCGAACATGGCCACTGCCTGACTAAAACGCTCACCCACAGTCCCACAGCAACACGGTCTCAACCGTGTGCAATCCAGTCCAGATGTGCCCAGATGTGCTTGGCCACATCTGGCCAAACCTTCGAGTATTGCTTGAAAAGCATAAATCCTTCAGTTCTGAAGAAGTGGACGGGCAGCTGAGGCACACAAAAAAGAAGCCCTTTCTATTTTCATTGAACTCTGTGGCTTTCTGAAACAGCAGCGTGGCCCTGGGCTATTTCAGGGCCTCTCCGACACAGTCTCATAATGTTGCTCTGAGAAAAAAGAAGAAATCTCCCTTCAACATCCCCTATCAATAGAAAAGGACAGAAGCAGCCATGCTCCCGCTTTGATGTCTTCAAAATGGAAAACACTGTTGAACATCATGGGGCTTCTCTCCATCCCTGACTCGGTTATATATTAATGGATGAGGAAAGCCCGCCGTGGATTCCTTTAAATCTAATTTAGGAAGAATTTATTGAATTTGCAGGGGCATGCACATAACACTCAGAGGCGGTCAGGCAGACACAGAGTCATGTAGAAGTGCTATCTTGTGTTACCTGTGTGAGTGTGTCTGTTTTTGCATGGAAAGGTAAATACAAACCTGCAGGGAAAAAAAGCAATCTCAGGGGATGGGTGATCAGGGTGAAAGAGAGAATGAGGTTCCCTTGTATAGAATGGAAGTTTTTTCTTTGCCTTATGTTCCACTGGGAGCCAATAAAATCCCATTTATACTACATCCTCATACATTTCCTTGATGGAAAAAGAAAGCAAATTCTACTCCTCTGACTGCCAGAATGAACAGAGACCTTATTTCCTCTGTTCGGGCACACCACCCCTTCCCCAAAAAGATCCCCCTCAAGATATCTCACCATGTAGTTGCAGCGCTTTGAAGCGAAGAACAGCTCCAATACTCACCCAAATCGTCCATGATATGATTTCAGCCGAGTGTTTCCCTCTTTGTGTGACACAACACGGACGCGGACAGCATTAATAAGTAGTGATGGACGCGTAGCAAAGCCCGCAAGATAAGACTATTGTCTGCGTCGGTCCTGGACAACTTCTTGGACACCGTTATCCGCCAAGAGAAGAGGAGGAGGAGGAGGAGGAAGAGGAGGAGGGCGTCCCGTTTCTTTTTTTCCTACACGACTCTCTTCCTGTGTAATGCCTACCAGGACCTCAGACTGGAGAAGGCGTAGTTAAATAAATGTGGTTACAAACCCCGCATTCCCCGGACACGCGACGTCATCCTGGACATTCCTCGTCCATATTTGGGAGAGAAAATTAAGGATTTTAGTGGCGGCGGGGCGCGAGCTGCGCAAACTGCCGCCGGACGCTGCTGCGACGGTGAGCTCGTGAACCGGTGACTGGGAATACTGGGAAAAAAAGCATCCACTGGTGTGCACAGGAAATATACAGCAGGGACGGGCCCTTTTAAAAAGGGGGGAAAAAAGGCGTAAAAAAACATTTGGATGGGATTATATACATCAAAGAAAATGTGATATCCCATTTTATATATTTGTATTTCCCCATACCAGCTTCATGGATTTATTTTTATTCCAAATTAAAGAAGTTATGAGTTTTTTCCCCCTTTTATTTCTATTGAAAATTACTCAAAATAAAACTGTTGATTCGTTTTGTCATTTCCAAGAGTTTTATCCACTTCATGACAGGATTAAAGGACAGGTTCACATTTTTTTATTTTATTTATCTAAATAAAACATTCCCATATATATATATATATATATATATATATACACACTTAAAGATCCACTGTGTAACATTTAGATGGATCTTTTTATTAGTGTAGTAATAGTAATCATTGTGTTTATCTACATAGGGAGTGGGTCCTGTTCTAAGGAGGCTGTCATGTTGAACCCCCATGTTTCTACAGTGGCCCAGAATGGACAAACCAAACACTGGTTGTGAATAGGCCTTTCACATTTTTGGCAGCCGCCAGTTTATCCTACACACTTCACAGCTCGTTCTCACGTTAGAATTTAATTTTGACACAGCCCCTAGATCACACAATAATGCAAGACTGAGCTGATGTTGACTACTCTGATGTTAGTGGTAATCGAATTACAAAAAAAGTAACTGATACAGTAATCCTGAGACTTTTGGGGTCCCTAGAGGTTTAGGTAGGGTGATTTTCAGGGTCCTGGTACTGGGCATGGTGGCTTACTGTCGCTCCTTATTGGGACACACAAATAGAACAGAGCCATCATTAATGTTGTTAATGTTAATGTTTGTAACATCTGTAGTTTTCCTATTGTGACATCTCAATAATCAGTTAAACATTTTATTAAATGTTGACACAAACTCGTGTTTAAAAATAAAAACCCAAAACAGCCAGCAGTGTAAAAAACAAAACAGGAAAAACTTTTAATTAAGCAAGCTCACAGTTACAGGCTATGTTTGTGTGATTAGGGGAAGGTGCCACATTGATGTTGGTGATGTATGCATTTTCAAAACTTCAGTTTTAACACCAGAAAACTCTCCTCCTGTGTATACTGTATGACCAAAAAAAAAAACAACCCTCTGTTGTCAAAGAGGTTCCTGCCTTTGGTCTCAGTGCATGAAACATACAAAAAAAAAAAGAACTGACAAGTAAAACATACTGATAAACAAATTGACAAAAAACGTAACATAGCTATTATTTAAAGACTTTCATTCCTGGTATGAAATCAAATCAGAAATGTACAACAAATCTGGGAGAATCAGACCAAGGAAACGTATTGGTTGAAGGTGTGTGTATCTGTTTTCTGTGGAAATAAAGCCTTTGTTTTGTACTTGTTCATGCAGTTTGCCGATTCAGACACCGGACTCCTTACCTATGCATGTTATTTCTAGAACACTGTGACACACAACTACGTCTTCACCTTTTCCAAAATATTAATGATAATAATTATAATAACTCACACACGCGCACACACAATCATACTTTTCCAAACCAACTTCTTCACTCAAAAAACTTGAGCCAGTTGGTGCTTAAGAGCAAAGTCAAGGAGCAGAGCTGCATGTGACGTGGAAATCATAAAGAGTTAAAAAAGATGATTTGTGAAGCAAATTGGGGAGGGGAGGGGGGGGATGCTGGGATGATAGCATGAAGGTAACATGGATAGGCTTGGTTACCTACAACGTCCCCATCCATCAACTGAAAATATATTACATATCCTCCACCCCGCTACTTCTCCACTGCAGTTAATCCACACACACCCACTTCAATCCTTTTCTCCATTGCTCGTTTCCTCTCCCCTGTCATCACTGCACAGCCTGTTCGTTGGCAGTGCTACCAGAGTCCTGAGGCTTCATCACATCAGGGAGTTCTGGGGGGCTGGAGAAGGCCTCGATGTGCAGCTGTTCGAACATCTCATCTGGAGGGCAGAGGAGACACAGAGACATTAGGTCCATCGTGACAGCAGAGTTGCATGTGGCCGCATCAGTCATGTCACCAAGTTTCTGCAGTGAATGTTGACTGGAAAGTCTTTTTGGGTGGATATTAAAAGCAAAAACTGGTAAAAACACTCTTAAAAAAGTGCAAAAGGAATCCCATGAATGTCTGTCATGTTCAACTACATTCACAAATGGCTTAAAGTCCAATTCAAATCTCATTTGTAGACATTTGTGTCAAGCAATTTAAAATGGGATATATTCCCCTTTATTTGTCACTGATGTTGTCTTGTGCATTGTAATCTCACATATGATGTAATTAAAAACAACGCTGTTCATAGCTTTAGGCCACTCTTAAGATTTTACAGCAATCTCAAACAAATCCAATGCTGATGGGACAGCGATACCAATTTCTCAAAAAAATGCCCCTGCACTACCAACCACTATAATATAGCTGAATCATGTTCACTGGACAAAGTTTGAGAGCATTCGGCAAAATGTAAGAAAATCACTGACAGAAGTAGACATAGTAGACATTATTTCGCCCAGAGGAGAGAATGGATGAGTTATAGTAGTTGACTTCTCTGCAGGCGTACATGCTGCCTGATGCTGATTCACTGGCACAATGTACGAATGATCAATTAATGAAAATAATTACTGACATTACACAGTTGAACTAAACAACACAACTAAAGACTAAAGAAAGAATAATTCTCCACCCGGAAAAGCAGAAAGACAGGAAATCAAAGTCAATATATTCCTGATCCTAGAAGCTCCCACGTAACGTAAAATGAACATACCATTTATGCGGAAAGCCAGACCAACTGTAGCTGGGGCTTGAGGTCTGGCAGTCTGGTTGGTGAATCCACAGTCACCAAGAGTTTTGCTGTCCTCTAGCAACTGGTCATCCTGGGAAACAAAAGTGTTAAAAAAAAAAGGTCACAGAATCCCCTAATGGCCTCAAAATGTATGAATTTGCTTTGATTAATATCAAGACAGCGTGTGAGACATTTCCAAAGAACATGTTAGTCGCCGAAACTAAGTTAGACGCCACCACGGTCAATAAGGACCTAGACAGAGATGTGATGCTGTCCAGGGTTAATATAGTGTCACTGGCATGCTCGGCCTTGAACTCACTTTGTAAAGCCGCTGGTCTTCAGGTGTTCTCTTAAGAATTCCTTCAACAATGCGCTTCAGCTCATAGACAGTGGTCGACTCCTTGGCGTCTGTGAAGATTGTGGTCTTGTGACGCCGGATCATTAAGAACACGTCCTAAAAAAAAGGAAAGTAAGCAGAGAATGAGAGTTGGTTTTCACACGGTCTCCTTTCAAAGTAGAATGGGATCAAACAGGATAGCTGGGGCTCAGGTACATTACAACCAGGTTAACTGGCAATAACCCTCTTTATATGTGACAAAACACCTCAAAAGGCCATGTAAGTCCTGTATAAGTGTCCATCTGACAACTGTTTATTACATCTCACTAACCAGCAAGTCTTTTAAGGAAATGTAGTGGGTTATGTACCGATGTGTAAAGCAGGAGTTCTTATATGAATTAACAGTACTAACGTTACATTGTTTGATTCAGAAACTGGCAACAGTGAGCAGTGACAAGCAGACGTACATTGGAGCTAACGCCAAATTAGCCTCCAGATTTTTGAGAGTCAAAATCAGGCCTGTCAGCTAAAATAACGCCACGACAATGGCAACGCGTTCAGCTCACCTGACTAGTCTAACCAGGGTTAGGTACCTGGCGTTACGTCACTTCCAAGGTTAGCCAAGCAGAGATAAGTTACCTCGCTAGCTCCAGCGCTCATTTACAGCTAAACGAGAAGGCGAAGCTAACATAGCATAGCAGACCTAGCGCACACAAACTGACATTAACACCCACATAACCGAGAGTGTCGCGAGTTATTATGGCGTTAACACTTCTAACAACACCCTGAGCGTTAATTCCGCGTTGTATCTCGGCGCCAGTCTCCCAACACGACCGGTAATAATAATAATGACAAAGTTACCATTTCAAGTGGTCAGCTAGCTCGCCAGTTGCGCCAGCCCTGTGTTGTGCAGCAGATCCCCAGACTGCACCGCTTGCGGATATTGCGTAATTCATATCGCTCGCGTTCCGTATTCTCGGAGGCTGCTACGTCAACTGCGTAGCGTCTTCGGAATTTTGGCGCGAGGCAGTTGCGTGGCTGGAAAGTGTACGCAGATTTTTTGATTTGGACTATTTGAGCAGCGCTGCTCTGAACACGGCTGTCAGCGCTGGGTTTATGGTCTGTGCGGTAACGTTACTTTAATTCTGCTACCTAAACATAACGCCGAACTGTTAGTTACAGTGCGTTGACTTACTGTACGGTAGCTAAGTTAACTAGCTAGGTGTTGTTGTCGTGTTGTTGACTGGGTCCGCCCTCAGGTAACGTTGGCTAACATTTGTTTTCTGGAGGTGACATTTGTCAGTGATGGTAAAGAAGGATTAAGGCTACCTTGCTGCTTGGAATAATGTTAACGTTGTCCGTAGGTGATTCAGCTAAGTGACTAAAGGACGTAAGACTGACGTGATTGCATTCAACAGGTCTGTGAACGATATCTCCACAGACTGGGAAGACCTGTTCTACAAAATGAGCTGATTATCAAAGGATCGTATCGATACTGAGATCACAACAACCTGTCAAGCAGGATGTTCAAGATGTTAGATGTCTAATCGGGACAAATGAGAGTGACCAAGCTGGAAAGGAGACCCTCCACTCAGTTCATTTCACTAAGGTAAGGAACACAGATGTATTTTGTGTCTGAACAGATTTGTATTCTCTCTTGGTAGATCGGATTTTTATGGCACATGTTAATAATATGTTTAAATATGAAGTCTTTGCTTTCCTCAAAATCTTAAATTGGCAGGGTTCTGTGCACCAGTAGATAGTAAAGAGGAACATTATATGAGCACGAGCAGTGCAAACAAAATGGCACGGGTACATTCATATCAACTGTCATTAAATCATCGTGTTTAAAGCTTTTCTTTTTAACGTTGCAGCTCAGAAAGGAACTGAAAAACGTGTCACACAATGTCAGTGGCAGTGGAAACCACGGCGTCCAGGGTGTCTCTCCCTCTTCCGGTCCACTTCTCCCACGCAGAGCAGTCCTTCTCCCTCAAAAAGCGGCGTCTCCCTTTTTCCTCCTCGTCTACGTCCAACTCCTCCTATTCTTCCCCTGCTCAGCTCTCCCATTCTCTGCCCCCTTTGCCACCATCCAAAGGATGTCCCCCTCTGAGCAGGATGTTCCCCCAACATCCATCCCCCTGGACACCCCTGTCTTGCTCCCTCAGAAAGTCTCCCCCTCCGAATTCGGTGTACAATCCCAGCAAACAACAGTCCTATTTCAGTCAGTGCTTCACTAATCTGGGCCTGCTGGGAAGAGGATCCTTCGGAGAGGTCTACAAGGTGAGCAAAACAAAATGTGTGTCTCTGTGTACATTTATATTAAAGCAATATAATACATATACTGAATTATTCTCAAGCTACTCAAGTTAAAGACTTGAAAAACAGCAATATTTACGTAAAATCTTGACTGTTTGAACATCTGTGCTGTGGTTTTGTAATGAGGAAGCTTGCAATACAAATTTAGATGTCTCTGTAAGCCTTATTTTGTCAACAAGATTATTATTTGGAGATCCCCCCCAACAGAAGACAAGACCTCAGCCTTTTCTGTGCTTTTCTAGGTGCAAAGCAACGAGGACGGACTACAGTATGCAGTCAAGCGCTCTGCTCATCGCTTCAGGGGCAACAGTGAGAGGAACCGGAGTGTGAGGGAAGCCAGGAACCACGAGCGCCTGTGTCCCCACCCTCACATACTGAATTTTGTGGCAGCCTGGGAGGAGTGTGGCCGACTGTACATTCAGACAGAGCTGTGTAGCACCAGCCTGCTGCTTCATGCTGAGAACCAGCCTCCCGGCCCAGGTCCGTCCCGATGGGATGACAACATTTATTCAAATATATAATAATGTAATGTATGTTCATCTTACTCCAGAAACTTCTCAATTTCCCCAGACATACTAACTGAGTTTCGGTTACAGATGAGCCTGCAGCGTGGGCCTACCTGTGCGACCTTCTCTCAGCACTGCAGCACTTGCACTCCCATGGTTTTGTGCACCTGGACCTCAAGCCTGCTAATGTCCTCATGACTGAGTCTGGACGTCTCAAGCTGGGGGACTTCGGGCTGCTGCTTGAGCTCAAACAAACGAGTGCAGTGCCCGTAGAGGGGAAGGTGAAAGAGGATGCCCAGGAGGGAGACCCCAGGTACATGGCCCCTGAGCTGCTCCGTGGAGAGTATGGACCTGCTGCGGATGTTTTCAGGTGAAGAATAACAACAAAAGAGAAAATTCAATGATTATTTGAATTGATGATTATTGATCTGATTTAAATTGGTGCCTAAATATTGTTGAACGGTTTTCATTTAGTTTGGGTATTTCTATTCTGGAGCTTGCCTGTAATATTGAGGTTCCAAATGGTGGAGAGGGCTGGCAACAACTGAGAAAAGGCAGCCTCCCCTCAGAGTTTACCAGTGGTAAGATCCACATTCTTCTAAGCCCTCATATATTGTCCCATTGTCTTTATTCAAATGACTTATGTTTTCATTATTTCCATCTGTGTTCGCAGGCCTGTCAACTGAGCTTCAGACAGTGCTGCGGATGATGCTGGCCCCAGAACCATCGCAGAGACCCACAGTCTCTGAGCTTCTTGCCCTGCCGTCTGTTTGGAAGCACAGTTGGAAAAGACGCATCTATCTTATGGTCACAGAGGCCACGCTGACACTGGTCTCCCTCTGCCAGGTAACGTGTCAAATAAACATTAAAGTTAAATGTATTAAACATGTAGCCTTTGCAGAGAGAGATTTAATGTGGCCACGACCTGCAGTCTTATGTGTAATGTAAATCTGAAACATCATATTTTTCTTTGTTTTTCTCGCAGTTGGTGGTGTGCTTTGGGTGCAGGCTCTTGTCCTCTCTTCACTTGTCCTTTCTCCCTCATTGGACCAAGCCAGTACCCTGCACTCCTCCCAAGGACAGCTGGGACAGGGATTTAACCCTGCCCCTCAGTGCCATGCACGCTGACTCGGGGAGCCCAGAGGACGACGCAGTGTTTCTGCTGAATTCCACAAACCCGGAGCTTTCCCCCACCTTCTCACACAGGTAGAGGATCATTGTGTTTACTGTAAAGGCACACATTTGGATTACTTGTGTGTATAGTATATATAATTCATAGCTTCATTTTTACGTTATGTCAAACATCCAGCAACAGCGATGGAAAATAACTGTTTCTACACTTCTTTTGCCTTGAGCTAAATGTTTTAATCCTGTCAAATCCCCTGCTTATTATTTCCATTTCCCCCACAGGGTCAAATCCAGACTGTCTATGGAAAGCACATCGACTCCTCTCCCAGGTTCACCGACACACAATCATCAAAGTCCTGCCAGCACACCCACTCACTCAAATCTGGGCGATTGGTTCTCCTGTAAGTTAGTACAGACGCCCTCCAGCATCCACTCAAATGGTTCCTGCCACAAACTGACACCCAGTGCGAGCCCCATCCACGCAGAGCTTCACACAGACACCGTGAATGAAAACTCCACGCACAGCCGCTGCTCATCCCAGCGACGTGCTCGCAACTGGGTCCGAACGGAGGAGGCCGTACCCCGACCCAACTTTGAACCAAAGAACCTGCTCAGTCTGTTTGAGGAAACGACTCCATGAGTACAAGACTGCCAGTTTACATTCAGGGACAGCGCGTTTTCACTTTAATATGCTGGGTGACGAGGACCTAATGTGTGAATGTACCAAGTTTACTACTTAGTTTGTATGAACTGCTTCTGCCATTTTGTAACAGTTGTACAACAGCTTCTTGTATTTGAAAAAAAAAATATATATATTTAGGGGAAAAGGGTTGAACATGTAATCGGACCTTTAAAGCACTTTTTATGTTTGTGTAAATGCAATCCGTTGCTGAAATGACAAGTCATGATGTATTGTTAAACAAGTTATTATTAGCTTGGTATACTCTGAGTTATTTACCTCATGAGTTACAAAGTGAAATAAAACAAAGGGAAAGAGAATCTAAACTTGTGGAATATGTTTTTAGTAGAAGGAACTTTTGAAATGTAAAAAAGTGTCACACTATGGTAAAAAAACAAAACAATCCTTTAGTCATTTTTTTTTACATACTACAATATGATGTTGTCTTACATCTGAAGAACAAGATTTGTAGGCCAGATCATCACTGCAGCACTACAGTACTTTATGATACTGTTTTGTCAGATGGCAGCCTCTGTTATTTTGAAATTACCCTTCAATTTCGATAATAATTTGATGAATTGTGCAGCCGTAGAGTGCTGTGCAAGGTTCATGTGAGCCCGATCAGGAATTTCCCCCATCAGTGACAGGTTATATAAACACCAATAATAGTGATAGGATGATGATGGACCCATTGGTGGGGGAGGAATCTTTGAAAACGTTATTTCTACTGACTCTACAGCATATACATCTGAAAGACTATTAAAAGATCAGCAGGGAATGAATGAATGTAGATTTTTTGTTTTTTTAAATCAATCCTACTCAGGCTGTTTTAAGGCTCTGTTTGCGGACTCACCAGTAGATGGCAGCAGCGCCTCTCACGCTGGACACCAGCTGCCTTTAAAACCCAGGAAGAGGATGATGATGATGATATGGGTGGTAAGCTGTTTCGTGCACATGCACAATACCCACATCTATCGGGATATTTAACCAAACCATTATTGGACTCCGTTCATCTCCTGGACAGGCTCTACCTATGTATGATAAATGCTCTGCATGGTCCTCAGATAGTGAGTTTGCAGCCTAATTGCGAGTCTGCACATTGCAGGTGTGAATATTGTAAACAATGAGCGTTTTCATCAGGATCACCGTTAGATAATCTGAGATTCATCAGAGACCGAGACAGTATTTAACGGGAAGTTTAAGGTATGCTCTTTTCCTTTAGTTTAGAATTGGTATATAAGTATAATACTACTCAGGAGCCCGTCTGTTTTACATTGTTTTTATTTTTCTAATTCCATGGTTTGCTATTGCGGGGATATTATATATTAATCTGTGTTTCTGCAGTGATGTTTGTAGGCTCTACTATCTTAAGACATGATCATTTGATAGTTGGTACAGATCTGTAAGGGCAAAGTCAAATCAGCCTGCAAACATCTATGAAATAAACACACTGGTCATCACCTATTATTACTATTATCATTATTGTTATTATTATTATTATCAGTCAATAAGATGTCCAAAATTGAGCGTCTGAACGCCCGAGTGGAAAAGCTGCTGTCTAAAGCTGTGCAGGAGGTTCTGGAGGTGGTGAAAGAGACTGTGTCAGAGTACCAGGAGAAAACTGCTAGAACACAGAGAGAGAACCAGAGTCTGAAGAGGAGGCTGCAGGAGCTCCAGGATAAGTTAAAATTGGAAAGCAATGGTAAGACAACATAGTACGTGTGTCCATAAATGTTGAAACTGTTTGATAAAATGTGTTGATTGTTTTTTTTTTGTGCTTTGCCGCCTTTGTTCTCGTGCAGGAATCATGCCACACATGTCCCTTGCGGCCCAGCAGACTGCAGATGCAGAGCTCCGTCTCGTGGATCAGAAACAGAAAGAAGAGCTGGAAGAGGACATTGAACTCATCCCCTCTGATAAGGGCAATACAGTAATAAGTCCCTCATATTCCCTTGAAGACCTTGATTGTGAAGCATCCATCTCATCATTAGCCACCCCCTGTATATCCCCGAGAGCTACAACAGGACCACATTTAGGTGGTGATAACTTGAACTATCCAAGAACTCTTAAAACGGAGAGTAATAGTGGACTCATAGTGCCAAATTCAAACCATGTAGACCCCGTCCCTGCTGTCACAATCTCTGGAAACTATAAAATGAAAGTAGAGCCAACATCGGATGAAGACGCCATGCACACTACAAATTATTTCTATGAGGATGCTGGTACTAGCGCTACTTCCTTACACAGACTGAACCCAGATCATCCTCAAGCCAATGCAGGACTCTACAGTGAGTCGGGGGTTGCCTTCAGTCTGGACCAAAGTGGCACAGAAGAGCCGTTATCTCAAATATACAACAATGCAGACAGCACTGGAGCAGAAAAACAACACAGCGCTCAAACAAACACAAAAGCAGGAGGCTCGGGCTCAAGAGCGTTCCAGAGAAACGTCCGAAAACACTACTGCTGCTCGCTCTGTGGCCGCACCTTCAGGCACGCAGGCGACTACAAGAAACACAACAGGGTGCACACGGGTGAGAAACCGTACTGCTGCTCGGTGTGCGGGAAGCGCTTCAGCCAGTCGGGATACCTCACAGTGCATCTGCGCTACCACACGGGAGAGAAGCCGTTTGGCTGCAGCCACTGTGGCAAAAGTTTTAGTCACTCAAGTAACATGAAGAAACACCAGCAAACTCATCAGTGAGGCTGCTGTGTTTTGTGCACATTGTGCAGCAGATGTATGCAGATGTTTCTATACATATCGTGTTACTGACAGTCAGGGATGGACAGTGAAAATGGCTTCTATGTTATCTTCTATGAGCATTTATGTGGAGGTCAGATGAGCGTATTGTAATCTTGATGTAAAAATTATGTAGCTTTACGAGTTTTATATGGGAAAAAGTAATTGTGCCTTCTTTTATTAAAACAGGAATCTTATTGTAGATTGCATGTCCACTTTCAAGTATCAAGAACAGTCCAGTACACAGTACACAGTACATTCCCACTGTTCCTGCCCGGCTGTTGTTTGTCAAATGTTTAGAGTTTTGTTTACTGTGTTGTTCGTTGCTGAGATTCCTGTGTGGACCTCCACATTAATTTTCAAAATCAAATAAATGTATTTGGTACTTCTTTATGGTAAAGTGTTCTGTATTTCTTTACAATGATCCTACGAAGTCTGAACCCCCAAAACAAAACCAGACAACGCAACAAAACTCAACAAAACTCTGAGCAAATTGTAGCCTGCTTGATAGAACTTCACTGTATAAGTCATTGAACGATCAGCATGCATGGTGCATAAATCATACATAACTGAACTATTTAACAAGACTGGGCATATCCCTTACAAATAACTCAAGTCTTGGACAAAGTGGAAGCATTATAAGATGATGAATCCCTCTCAAGTTTGATGTGAACTGGTTGCCACAGAGACCAGATGAGGGTCCTGAGCTGAAAAAAACGGATGTTAAACTCCCAAACCCACAGACTGGCCTTTGAGGCTGTAGTGTTGCAGCAGTGGTGTGCAGAAGTATAGTTATACACTGTGAAAATGGGGTATTTTTACCCTTTCATATAGCACCTCCTTGTGGCCCATGAGTGTCATTATTTTGAGCTTCCACAACCCCTCAACATTTAATTACATTGGTGGTGTGTGTGATATCACATTTGAAGTTAAAGAATTGAATAATACAATTAAAGCAACCTCATGACATCAAATATTATTTGGACTTCGTATCATGAACTTCAGAGTCAGAAACGTGTAGAATCTGCTGTTATCCAATACATCAACACCACAAATGCAGGCACATTTAAATAGAGTTGAATTGACACCATTCATCTGTTGAGTCTATCTAAGTACCTGTCCATAACATTGCAGCACCTCATTATGTTCCTTTTCAGAGGGGATGACAAAACATCTTTCCCAACACTTAGGTAAGGTATTTTGCAATCCAGTAATTTCGAGCAACTACTTCCCTTTCCTCTTGAACATGTAACATGTGTAAGCTTGATGCTAAAGGACCGCCTACTTAACCACATAATTATGTCTCATCCTGCTTCATTGATTTTTAAGATCGCACAGGCAAGCTTTGGGACCCACTGATTGTGATACAACACCTATGACAAGTACGTTTTCAATTTATTCAGTTTTTTGATATTGTGTCTGCATGCTCGTTAGTCAAAAATAATTCTGTGTTTCAGAATGTCGTGAGGCGACGTCATAATGCAGAGTGTCAAGTGTGTGGTTGTTGGAGACAAGGGAGTTGGAAAGTCCTACCTACTCCACACCTACATCAACAAGATCTTTCCTAAGGTGTACACACCATGTTTCTACGGCACGTACAGCACCCAGGTTCATGTAGACGGCCAGACTGTCAGCCTGAACCTTCAGGACACAGGTAGCAGTGAGGAATATGACAGATTGCGCCTCCTCTGCTACAGCCAAGTCAGTGTCTTCCTCATCTGCTTCTCTATTGCTAGCCCAGAATCCTATGAGAATGTAAAGCGCAAATGGCATCCAGAGGTCAAAAGCCATTACCCTAAAGTGCCCATTCTTGTTGTGGGAACTAAGAGTGACCTGCGTGATGATGAAGAGGTCCTGGAGAAACTGAGAGCGCAAAATCAGACCACAGTCACCCAGCAGCAGGGAGCAACCATGGCAAAGCAAATAAAGGCTGTAAAATATCTTGAGTGTGCTTCATTGAGCCTGGATGGACTGGATGAGTTGTTTGATGAAGCTGTGCGTGCCTTTCTCAGTCATTCAGCTACCACCATGAAACCCTGTGTACTCTTGTAATTTAATGTTGCATATACATAGGCTATGTATACATTTATATGGTTAATCTTTGTATGTGTGTTTTTCTGTTTTGTTGTGTCTGTGGGGCTTAATATGCTTATGTATGGGAATATTGTATGCACTTCAGGATGCGTACAAGTGAAAGCTACAAGAGTATCCAACTTAATAAACATGTTACAAACCACACCATATTACAGTTAAATGTGTATTTTACTTCCTGTTTACTGATTTAAATTTTTGTTTTTTCCTTGGATCTACAATGGGTAATGCTGAAACACAATTTAATATAAGAAATAACATTGTTTTTGCACATTACTAAGTTATCCATGAGGCCAAGTCTGTTCCGAGTCTGTAACAATCTGTCCATGTTCAAATCCCTAATAAAAACCCTTTCAGTACTGCTTTTAAAGTGTGATTAATTTGTATGTGTTGTATATTTTTTTGTGTCATTTCTATGACCATTTGAACTCATGTACTTTAAATTATGTGTCTTTAAGTATCACGAATAGCACTCTATAAACAAAATGTATTATTATTATTATTGTATTACACTGTTATATATTATATTTTAAACTGTATTTATTATATTATTATTAAATCCCAGTTTTCATCACTACGCAGCGAAAATTAATACATGGAATAAACCCGGACTTTTATTTTGAAAAAACACATCACGGAGGATGTGATTCAGGTTCTGCTTCCGGGGGTTGCGAGTTGTTTTGTTACGCTTCGAGTAGTGCTTTGTAATTTAGTTTCCTCATTTCACCCTCTGTTTGCAAACCATTAAGTTGACTGAAACTTAATCAGTTCGTTGCTAACGAAGTAACCGCATGGCGGGTTCGCTGAAAGTTTAAAGGGAAGGCGATAACGGAGTTAGCTAATGTGGCTAACGTAAGCTAGCGTTACAGTATATCCGCTAACTTCAGATTGCAGGTACAGCAGAAGTGACATTAAACACATGTTTGAAATATGGTTGCTACGGAGCTAATACCAAATAAACACTCGTTTAAAGATCACATTAACGTTACCGTGGAAACGCTGACCCGAGGCTGTCATTGCGATAACGTACAGCAGCATAGATCATAAAGGGGCAAACCACCGAGGATTACCCTTGTGTGAGTGTACCATCAAAATCTCAAACCAGAGTGTGTAAAAGATCCAAAGAGCTCTGACCAAAACGGGATCAACATAAAACAAAAGTTTGCTGTTAAGTGCAACTTGTTCCATTGAATAATGTCAGTTCCTCAGGCTTTCTAAGAGGCACATAGTCTGATGATAAATGGACATTTTATCAAACACCTGAGTCTATTTCTGTGCACAGCAGTGTTTGTGAAACATTTCCTCTTAATGATGATGCAGCAACAGTTTAATACGTGCTGCTCTCTGTTCAGAGGGTTATGCATCCGCAGCTCCTTTCTCACACTAAGTGACGTTTTATTTCAGGATGTCTAAACTTGAACGTCTGAATGCTCGTGTGGCCAAGCTGCTGACTGAAGCGGTGCAGGAGGTCCTCGGGGTGGTGAAGGAGACCGTGTCTGAGTACCAGGAGAAAACTGCCAGAACGCAGAGAGAGAACGAGAGTCTGAGGAGAAGACTGCAGGAGCTCCAGGACAAGATAACAAGAGAAAGCATAGGTGGGTAACAAGGGTAGTTTTCTTGGGGCAATCACCATTATATCATAATGTTACTATCCAATGCCAAGCGGAGTGTCAAGTTATTCATTAGTTACTTAGTAAAAGTATAACATGTCTTTCTTTTGGTATTAATTTCACAGTTCTTCTACCCGTAAGTAATCCATTACCTGAAGAACATGAGGGCACACAGAATCAGGAGCAGGATTCGGCGCTCGCTTTGAGCTCAGAGCTTCCTCTCGTAGAGCAAAACATCTGCCACGAACTCGACCGTGACGTGAAGCAGGAATCGGACGAACAGGAGAACTACAACAACACTGAATCACAAGCTGAGTGCGACTTGTTTCCAACAACAGAACACTGCCAAGCACAACCAGGGGAGGTGACACACATTATTGAGGAGGCTAAGACAGTCCACACGTCACACAGTGCAAACAGGGACATCGGCGCGGTCTCTTCCAGCAATGTGAGCACCTCTCACTCCGACTCCTCGCTCAGGGTAAACCTGGCTGAGGTCAAACTAGAGCCAGAGCCGACATCTCTTCAAGAACAGTATAGTGGATGTGTGGATTTAAGCTGCAACTCTTCTCGTCAAACCTCTGCTGAGACGCCCAGGCCGCAAGTTAGTGCTGAACCTTGTGGACTTGTGTTTGTGCACTCAAATCACGCCATACCTAGGAGGCATGGATTTGCAAAAAGCAACAGGGCTGCGTTCGACGGGAGGAAAATCAGGATGGAGCACTTCAGGAGAGACGACTCGCACTCGTGTGTGGTGTGTGGAAAGACGTTCAGCAGGGTCGGGAACTTGAGGATCCACCAGCGATGTCACACAGGAGAGAAGCCGTACGGCTGCGTACAGTGTGGGAGGCGTTTCAGTCAGGCAGGAGACCTAAAAAAACACAAGAGGGTCCACACGGGGGAGAAACCGTACTACTGCAACCAGTGCGGAAAGAGCTTCAGTCGGGGGGAGAATCTGAAAAGACACCAGAAGATTCACATTGGAGAGATTTTACAGTTACAGCAAGTTTGGAGGGAGCAGCAGTGATTATTATAGACTCAATGCAAATCAGCAAACGTTGTGGCGAGTCTGCGGGGGTCATTTTTGCCCTTAGTTTAAACAATACTTGCAAGAAACTTTTGCTACAGAACGTATTTAAAGGCTAGTGTCGTTCAACTCACTGGGCATTGTTACAAGGAGTTTCTTGCTGTTCTTCGTCTTGTACGTAGCCAGTTGCTACTGACGCTGTCGTTTCGTCTGTCTGATCATGATGGGACAGGCCCGTAGAAGGTCATCACTGAACCAAAGAAAGCTTTACAGATAGAGATGCACTGATGTAAAGGCAGAGCCATTTTTATTAGTACAAAGAGTTTTATGTGCTCCATTTTATTCAGCAGCTCCAGCTGTCAAAATCATTTTATTAAAATGCATAACATTATCAGTAATGTGTCATAAAATCGAAGGAAAACTTTTAGACATTTTCTTATTCATTATTGGTGCATCTCTACCTAACAACGTGATATTGACTAAACAGATTTCTATCCAGTGAGCCTAAAGAGCAGGTTAAAATGTCCAGTGTGTAACATTTAGGAGGATCTATTGGCAGAAGTGGAATTTAACATTTTATTATATGTTGGTGTATAATCACCTGAAAATAGTAACTGTTTTTGGTACCTTTCAGAGTATTTTTTACCTAAAGAAGGAGGGGGTCGCTTGTCTGCAATCTGCAACTACACCGCAAGATGCCAATCAATCCTACACTCTGGACCTTTAAGCGTACTACAGTGTGTTATATAATGTGACACTTCCTTTGGTGATACAGAATAAGTGCTCTCATGTTAAATAGGTTAATGCTGAAGACAATGATTGAAACTTTTTAAACATCTAAAAAGCATGATTGTCATTAAAATTGCCTGATTTTCTAGACTGATTGAAGCTTGCTGTATGCTGGATATATATTTATCGCAGATTTATTTTGTTATTTAGGATAGAAACCAAGAAAAGAGTGTTTGCACAAGAATAAATTAATTTATCACCACCACAAACGGCTCAGTGAGTGTTGTTTTTGGTGTTTTTCTGAGGATCTGTTAACACACAAAGGCTTGTTTTAGTATTCACAGGTGTATTGTGTCATGGCCTAATTAGTTACAAAAGTAATGACAAATAAATGTGTGTAAACTTAATTTAACCTCTTGAGTTAAATTTGACTTGAGCAATAAGTACTGCATGTGTGAGAAATGATCACATGCACCTTAACCTTACACACCAGATGTTTATACAGAGTAACCAATACACACCACGGACACACACCCACAGCTAACAACAGCGTTTTACTGAGACAGTGGTTCACACGGTAGCATCCGAGAAACCACAGCTCCTTCAAATACCAGATGAATTGAGATTATACAGTATATATAGGGTGCTTTACTGTATTTATTTACCCACCAGCTGTGGTCAACCTGCTGTGCCTTAACCTGTTTGGGGGCCCAATACTGACCACTGTGCATTGTGTATAGTACAGTGCACACAGCAGCCTCTTTATATGACCAGGGACCCCGAGACCTGCCAGTACTGAAAATTAGCTTTACACTAAACTCTGGTAGAGTACACCAAATGTTAACATTTATGCTTTATATTGCACATGTTCCCCATAACAAATAATAGGCCTATAACATAAATGAAATGCTTTGTACAATAACAAAGTACAATATGGGCTTTACCTTTGTATTGTGATGCTTAACAAACATAATCAGAGAAGAAAGTCAAGAATTATAAAGATTAACTACAAAAAGGACAATGAAATGTATATCAACTTACATTAATGTGCATTAATGTAGGGAACTGAGTCAGATATGGAGACTTTAAGGTAAAGTGCAGTGTCCATGGGGTGGGATGACATGTCACATGTCAGTATGGGTCCTATTGATCAGACCAGGCAGTGCAGACAGTGGACTCCTCTGCTATCCATTAAGTGACCAAATAATGCAAGAACTGCATTATTTTACTTGATTTGCTTTCCAAACAAATGTGTAATTAATCAAATGAACCCAACCAACTAATACAGGTACAAGTGCTTCTGAGGGCCACGCAGGTCTGGCTCCACCTTGTCTGACAGGTAAGGCATACTTATATAACAGCTAATTAATGCACATAAATATATCCTTATTTTTGAATACATTTCATATTAAAACAGTTCACTGTAGCCTGAATAAAGTCCCCTGTGTGTGTGATGAGCATGCAGCTGCAGTACAGTCAGTGCTGTTGACGTGGAGCTGCCCACCTTACCAGGAAGTGATTAGCACACACCCACAGGAGGAAACTGAAACACACTTACACACTTCAGAAAGGTGAGTAAACAAGAACCATGTGGAAATGAGAACTTTGTCTGGTCTCGCAATTTCTCGAGTGTAAGTAGGCATGTTGCAAATAGAAACCGATATTACCGAGTCAGTCATTTTTTAATCTTGAGAAACCGAGAAACGCAGACGGTAAGGCGAATGGTGAGACGTTCACTTACCGCCATGAAAACAGTAGGCGAGTTATTAATGGCGGCCGGTTTGGCATGTTTCCATCAGTAAATAAACGAGATTTAAACTGTGACTGTTTTTTAAGTTGAAGTTAAAATTCGGGATTTGGAGCAATGCGGAAGTGCGTTTATTTATTTGGCCTGCAGAGCTGAGCCGTGTCAGTGTTAGTTCTCCATAAACACACAAACACACAAACATTAAACATTAATAAATGAGGAACAATTGCTTTTATTTGTGTCTGTGTTGCAGGGTGACTTCTGAGCAGCCTGTGATGTTGAAATGAAGCTTGATGAAAAAGTTGTCACCTATTTTGAATCTTGCAACTCACCTGTAGACAAAGAAGGGTTCCTGTACAAGAAGGTAAGACACTTAAATAACTTTATTTTTTATTATTATAGTGTGTAACAAAAGTCATTTATTGTCATTTATGCACACCCAATAACCACTTTGCCTGTCAAACATATGTTTGTATATATCTATATGTGTGTATATGCATATATGTTTATATAATAATTCACTTTTATTTGTACAGCACCTTTCAAAACAATGAATACAAAGCGCTTCATACAGTACAATTCATATTTAAACATCACAGCATTATAATGAATTTAAATCAGGCAAATATAAGTAAAAGGAAACATAATAAATGGCTTTAATAGCGCTGCTGTACTCAAAATAATGTCATTTGAATTTCAAAGCTCATAGAAACCTGTACTACTACTTCCCTTTTTGTAGTTCACCAATGGTGTTGTGTCAGAAATGGTGTAAATGAGCTATTTCTCACTGAGTCAGTAAACCACAGATGGCAAAATTGTCCACAGGGTGAGATAAAGACTTCCTATCAGAAGCGCTGGTGCGTGTTGAAGGGGAACCTCCTCTTCTACAAGGACCGGCCGTCTGACCGGGACCTGACAGGAGTGATTGTTCTGGAGGGCTGCACCGTCCAGCTGTGCGAGTCCGAGGAGCAGTTCGCCTTCTCACTGGTGTGGAGCGACCCGGGACTGAGGACGTACAAGTTTGCTGCCGAGGACCAGGCCAGTCAGGAGAGCTGGATCAAAGCCCTGCTGTCGGCCAACCACAGCTACCTGGCCCTGCTAGTGATGGACCTGGAGAAGAAGTACAGAGGTGAGAGACTGAAAGGCTGAGTGTCTTTTTTTTAAATTTATGGGTAAAAGAGAGCTTCCTTTGTTCTGAAGAGCAGCTGTGTGAGGCATCGAATCACTGTCTACAGACGCCATGTACATGCTGGTACATGGTATGCAGACAGTATTATCTCGTAACATCTGACTGTCAGCATGTGCAGAAACTTGTTGTTGTCAACACAATAAGTCAAGTTTGTACTGATCTACGTTTGTAGAGGGGTTATATCAACTCTTAAATTAGTTTTTCAAGGTGTAGCTTGTGTTTTTGCTTCATTTGATTGCAATACATTGTAAAGTAAATGGTGTTTTTAACTCTACTCCGATGAGTCAACAAAGAGTGAACATGATAAACTTCACAAAGGTTGGTTTCATTGCAGGGGTATTTATACTGGTATGCAGTGATAACATGTAATGAAAGTAATTAATGGCCTCATTTTAATATCTAATGCAAATTTTGACTCCAGGAAGTGCAAATTCCTCTTGTTTTAGGGTGGAAATGAGACAGGTAGCAGTCTAAACTTCATGAAAAAATTATCAGGTGTCTGCCATTATTTCAACCTTACTTTTAGGTTTAGAACGAGACATTTGAGACAGGGTGAGTCAAGAGTGTTTTTGTATTTTTATCCTCTGATTTTGCAGCCTTGCTATCTATAATAGTTGCTCTATGATACATTAAAAAATGTGTGTCTCATGGGTCAAATAAGGCCCCTGCATGGGCATGTAGTTTGAGATCCCTGACTCGGATTCGCAGTTTAACAATACAGACAATGGCTTTTGTCAGGATTAAATCTTTCATTCTCAGCGCTCTACAGCCGAGGTAGCTATAGATCAGGTACGACAGGTTGTTTGAATACTGGCTCCTACGGTCAACAAGTGCCCTTAAGCAAGACACTGAACCGTCAAAACTGCAAAAGGAGGTCATAAGAGTGTTATGTAAGTAGCTTTCACTTCTCTGTCAGTGTACCTTGAGCTGTTTGCTTCATTATGTGTTTCTTTCTTCCTCAGATGCGTTAGGCGAGTTATCCAGTGAACCAGCCAACACTTTCATCATGCCAAATTTCAACACAGCAGAAGTGGGACATCCTGCCGCCTGTTTGAGCGCACAAATTTCAACCCAGCTCTCCTCGTTTCCAGCGCCAGGCGTGGGAGCAGGGCCCGGTCTGAGCTCCAATCAGATGCTTCAAGCTCTGACCATTTCACCCAAATCAGCCAGTAAAAAATCACCCAAACTCTGGCCCAAGAGGAATGCAAATGTGGTGCCTATTAACACTCCTGCTCTGCCGTTGGAGGAGTGGTCAGGGGTCTGTTTTCCCAAGGAGGAGTTTTGTAAATTGCATGAGGATTTTGGAAAAGAGGTGAAGGAACTGATTGCCGATTGGTCAAAGAGGGGACAACACGATGAAGTTGTTCAGGAAGAAAACCTAATAGATTTTGGATGATACATGTCAAGTGTATACGGTGTCTAAAACATAGATTCAATAACTGGGGTTGCATTGCAAAGCTGTTATGTAAACAGAACCACAATTATTGTTAAGATATATTCCATATATTTATATTTGTTTAAGAGCATGCTGTTTCTTTTTTTACTTATTGTGCCATACAAACAATAAACGATCTATGATCTGCTCTATTGATCTTTGTTCTTTATCAGAGTGATTTCTTCATGTGAACTTTTGAGCTGTAAGTGTGACCTCTTTATCTACTCTACTTACTCCATCCAGTCTACAGATCCTAATCCGTCAGGCTGGGTATCGTTAAAGTAAGGGATAAAACCTGACTATTTCACTCAAATGAAATAATTTATTAAATAGTTACATGAAATAAAATGGTTTAATACTGGCACCATGATTTAGAACCGCAAACAAAGACTTGTGTCCGGTTCCCAGAATGAATCCAATTTTATATAAGTGCTGATTTCATACCTGAATTTCTGTGCAGATACCTTAAATAATATTTTTTCTGAAATAAATCTGAAGCCACGCTTTTCTACAAAAGCCTTTTTTTGTTCAGCAAAAGAAGTTTTGATATCTCACCTGGTAGAGCTGGTGAGTTACACATGTACCAAGGCTTGTGCTGCAGTACACATAGGTTTGAACCCGACCTTTGGCCCTTTGCTGCATGTCATCCCCTCTCTCCCCCTCCTTTCCTGTCTATCTTCAGCTGTCCTATCCAATAAAGGCAAAAAGCCCCAAAATATATGTATACATATATAGAAGTTAAAAGTACAGCTGTACACGAAATTTTTACACTAAATAAAATGCAAAGAAATTATTATAAATCAGGACCTACCTGATCAAAGAACAATAAACAGGATTATTAGGCATTTGACAAGCAGTTGTTTTTAACAACAAAAAATAATTGCAATTGAACAGTCTGTTCACTGATCATTTCATTTTCAAATTTGTCTATATACCAGTGAATTAAGTTTCAAACCACTTTCACTTCAAAGCAGGCCAATGATTGAGTGGGTAAAAAAAGGACCAACAGTTGTATGGGGGCAAAGCCGACCAAGAAGGGTGAAGTCTGTCGAATATTCGAAAGAGTTAAAATGGCTGAGAAAGAGAATGGTGGGGGGGAGAGGCAGCGCTATTTCAGTCTCTACAGCTGTCTTGTTTTTATGGTGTTTGACAGAGCTTGGTCTCTTTCTCCCTCTGTCTCTCTTTTCACCTTCAAGCCCATACTCGAAGTGGCTGCTCTGCTGCTCGCGACGTTCTTCACATTTGATTGAACCTTTTTGATAATCTGCAAATAATTCTCTCTAATTTTAAATGAGTAGTGGTCGGATGAGTAGTGGTCGAATCTAGGATCAGATCAAATCAACACCCAGACTATTAAAAAGAGAATATATTAAAAAAAGGCACAGATATAGACACATATTAGAAAAAATTAGGTCATATTTAACCATGTGAGTTAGAAGGCCTACTAATGTCCGAAGACGCAGTATCAGATCACGCTGGTACCAGATCCAAATACATACCATAGCTGTACAGTTAAGTGATTGATGGCAGCCTATGGAGCTCATATATGGAGTTTAGTGGGTGGGCCACTGTCCTCCTATTCTAAAGCAACTATACTGGGAACCTTGGGAGGAACCCAAATTAGTGTCTCCATGGTAGGAAAGCTGCTCATCATCATTTGCTGTTTCCCATCACTGATGTGACTTATTATCACAAAAACAATATTAAGAGGTCCTCCTTGAAATGTCCCTGTTTTTTCTAACTATGTATGGCTTTTTGCACGTCCACCAGTGCACAAAACAATGAAACAGGATGAAAAAGAAACCAATAGGCTGCCTTTAGAAGTTTGAATGTACTGAATGTACTGTGTTTATATGGTCTGTTTTGGTTTCTGTGTCAAATGTGATCTAGATTGAGTTCTTTTTCAAAAGTGAGACATACAGTATTCCTGCAAAGCATTTTCTACTACCTCTGTCAGTATTAAAGGACTGTTTACATTTCTTATTGATGCATGGTCACTGTTTCTAGAGGCCCTTGAGTCGTGTGTCATTGCTGGAGTTGGACCAATGTCCATCAGCCAACTGCTTTTAAGTTTCATGACTGTTTATAAAGTCTGCTGGCCACTGCTGATCTGGTAATGGACACTAACCTCACACCAAACCTATCATTTAGACAGATGATGACTTTAGGATATGTTTACTACGAATACATGTTGGCACCTTGGGCAGCTCAAAGCTGTTAATTACTGTTAATCCCACACGTGTGAGTATCAAGGGAGTAAACAGCAGCAGCCTGTCTCATCCACTGGGGTTTGTTCTCTCACACTGGATATCAAAGAAACAAAAATAGCCATGACAAAGACTCTCAATATGTCAAGAAGAAGAAGAAGGGTACAGGGACAGTTCAGTTGTCCCACAGCATTCCCTGTCTGCCAGTTTTGCCATATTAGTCCACGGATGACACCAAAGTCATACATGTGTGTTGGCATTGAATTCACCTCATTCCAAGACTCATGGGGCCTATTTTGGAGCATCGGTAAGCCGATCCATACTCACCACCTCCTTGCTCCTCCCTCTTTCTCTTACTTTCCCCATAGCTCTATTTTCCTGCCAAACCTGATGGTGTGGCTAAAGTTAGCCCCCCGTGGGCTAGTATATAAGACCCCAAGAGTCCAAGGCTTAACATGTCAGTCACATCGGCTTTGGCGTAGGCTTCTCTTCTTGACCACCAACAACCCCACAAACTTGAGAGATGGTGAGTGTGGCCATGTTCCTCCGAAGAACAGTCTCTAGGGATCTAGGATCTTCTCGACACTAAACTGATGAGATGAAAACATCACTGATACATTTGCTATCTGGATTACCAGCAGCCCATGAAACTAAATTGTAGGAGTCTCTGGAGCCGAGCCTCCCAAATTGTGGATTTGGACCCAGTCTTAACTTTTATCTGCCGGCTTGAGTTTAAGATTGATTAACATCTCAAATCTTAACCATGATGAAATACTGAAACACAAAATGTTTTGGGATCTTTGGCTTATTATTTTAGCCCCCAAAGCAACTACTTAGTATTTTACCCACTCAATTGGGCAATAGAAACAAAATAGGTAGACTTCTTTTGTAAGAAGAAAACTGTCCTCACAAAAGCTTTGTGATGATGATGTAGGATTTATTTGGCAATTTTTCTAAAGCCACTAGAGTGATTTAATTAGGCTTTTTGGAGTTACTGAAATAAGCAATTTAGGAGTCTTATATGTCCTTTTTGGCTTTGGCCTCACATTGGGCATCCTTGACAGTCTTCATATCGTTTGCTTGGAGTTAGCCAGGATTACTACATTTTATAGTAAAGTCTGTTCGGTTGATGTTTTGCATGTTTTAAATTTTGTGTGTTCTTTACCTTTTATCATCTAACAGGCACCCAAGAAGGCCAAGAGGAGGCAGCAGCAGGGTGAGGGTGGATCCTCCAATGTGTTCTCCATGTTTGAGCAGAGCCAGATCCAGGAGTACAAGGAGGTGAAGTTTTCTCCATCACATCTCACACACTTCAAAGCAGACACTTTCTAGTAGTATACATTGAGGTCTTCCCACACCTTGTGAGAAAAGGAACATTTTGTGGTGCTCATATAACTGATGACTCCATGTATCACTTGACCTTGGACGTAACATGAGGAAGCTTCCAAAACATATAGACGCGATCGGTTTGGTTTCATGACAGCAAAAATGTCCTCATCAGCACGACAGGACAATAAATCTGAGCTTTTCCGATGACGGTAGCTACCTCTCCTTTGGGGTATCTCAGTAATCCTCATCAGAGGCTTAAAACACTTGCTCTGTGACCCTACAGGAATGTCTCCCAACAGCTGGTAGGCAGTGATATTAATCAGAGCAGGAAAGAGTGGCTAGGTAGAAAGAACAAGAAAAGATCTGAGGTCTTAAGTTGAGTCTATATTAAGGGAAGAGAAGGGAGAACAGTATGCAGGTATGAAGAAAAGAGAATACAATGGCGACAGTGGCTTAGCTGACCCTTTAGAGGCTTCAGAAGGTGACATAACATTGGGGACAGGGTCAGAAGATTCAGTCACAAGGCAAAAAAATGGAGGAGGGGGTGACAGCTGTAATCAAAACCTTCTCCTTAAATGTCGCAAGGGGCTTGTCTCACATTCCGAGACCATTTTAACACCTTAGAAAGACAAGTGGCCGACCAGCTGCCAAGTCCCAAAAGGTTCGCAATGCCATCTTTGGTTTCAGTGAGTGCTACACCCAGTCATGTGAAAAGAGGTGGAGAACAGCTCCACATTTACACGTTTATGTCGGCAGACTATCTCATGCAAATAGTTATCATAAGTGTGTCTTATGACAAGGACTTGTGAGAAATGTGAGGATCTCAATTTTCACTGTTTCAATTGGCTGTACTTTTGTTTATAGTTTGAGGGCTTATGAACGTCATCCGAGGAGGTGGTGAACCTTTGATACAGTAATTTGCAACAAATGGAGCACAATTTGATTCTTTTATTCACTGACTAACCTCCTCCTTCTCTCTTCTCATCTGTCCCCCGGCAGGCTTTCACAATCATCGACCAGAACAGAGATGGCATCATCAGCAAGGACGATCTGAGGGACGTGCTGGCCACCATGGGTCAACTGAATGTGAAGAATGAGGAGCTGGAGGCCATGGTGAAGGAGGCCAGCGGCCCTATCAACTTCACAGTCTTCCTGACCATGTTCGGCGAGAAGCTGAAGGGTGTGTCCTTGCCTGTCACTTTTTGTCTTATTTCATAGATTATTTACCACTTTGAGGAGTTACTTTCCTATTTCCCTACTTGTTTTTTGGTATTAACTTCATAATTGAGACTAATTGGCTGCTTTTACTCTTAGGTGCTGATCCCGAGGACGTCATCGTGAGCGCTTTCAAGGTCCTGGACCCCGAGGCCACTGGCGCCATCAAGAAGGAATTGTAAGGGCTTTTTTCTATCACAAGAGTCTGAGCTCTTTGTGGCACAATCTTGATTCAAGATAGACCATCTGATATTAATTCTTCTCCATTTTCCCTCTCCAGGCTTGAAGAGCTCCTGACCACCCAGTGCGACAGGTTCACCGCTGAGGAGGTGAGCTGATGATCTTTGTTCACTCATGTTCACGTCCTGTCATCGATTGTTCAGGGTTGTAAGCCATTTCTTTTACTCATCCTCTGCAGATGACCAACCTGTGGGCTGCTTTCCCCCCTGATGTGGCTGGCAATGTGGACTACAAGAACATCTGCTACGTCATCACACACGGAGAGGAGAAGGAAGAGTAAATCCCCCTCTCTATCAAGATCTCTACCTCCGTTTAAACCCATACTTGCCGCACCATCTACTCACTCCCCCCCTTCTACAACGCCGTGACTTCCTTGCACACTTTCACGCTCCGGTCCGCTCTTTCCACTTGCCAGCTCACTACTAAAAGACTTGTCTCCTTTATCGAGATTCTCAGTGAGAGGACTGAAGGCTGTGGGGGTGTTTGTGTGTGAGGACCAACAGGGGAACATGGGATTATTTTCAATAAAAATAATCTTGTGGCACTGAAACACTCTCTCCATCTCTGTCCCTGCCTCTTGTTCCTCCTCCTTTTTCTCCCATCACTCATTCTGTCTTTCTGTATTGAGGCCAACAGTGCATGCATCATACCTACATGCAGCATGTATGCATATGCAGTCCAGTGTATACAGCGGTCAGTCAAAAATATGTCTTGGGTGCTGTGGTGCAAGCACAGTCACTTGCTTGAAACAAGTAAGCAGTCTGACTCAAGTGGTCTGTTAGTCTCAAGCCTGACACAGAGTGTTTAATGGATTCATCCCTTTGTTTGTAGTAGGGAGGAGTGCACAGTAAAAGAGTGGGAGTATTGTACTATAATAGTTTGCCTACCCCTCTCTTTTTAATCTGTCTCTCCTTCTCTTAAATATAGGCATGAAAGGAAAAGTTGCAGGGAAAAATAGGAAAGCATGATTTTTTTTATAAATCTTGTAAATAGAGAAAGAGATGGGGAAAGATGGTGAGTTGGAGGCAGGGATCAAATAAACAAAAGTACAACATCTTTGTTTTTGACTCTCCTTCCTCCTTTTCACTGTTGTTTCTCTCCTGTTGTTGTGACTATGACTGTAACAAAGAAAGAAGTACAAATAAAATCCACTACCTTTCGTATGACACTGTGTCTGTTGGTTGACTGTGAACAGCCCTGTAGAGCACTGACTGCACACTGACTGCTATATGCAAATGGTGAAGCATTATCGAGGTCAAAACTACTGAACTTTAAGGTCTCATCATAATCCCAAAGTCTTAAATATATCAAATATATCATGCTGAATTGTAATCTTTTATCTAATTAAATATCTAGAGATTTCTCCATGCAGTACCAATGCATGACCCTAAATCTGCAGGACAGTGGGACAAAATAATAGAAACACCTAACAATACAAGAATAACCCTTACCCAGTAATAGGGGTGGATCTAGAGAAATATTAACATTAAATAAAAAACGCGAACGAATTAATAGAGTAAAGGTTTGGAAAACATAGGAAAAACATCATCATCATCATTATTCTTAGTCAGATTTTGATTATTATAGCTCTTATTGTTACTTGTTTTTATTAATGCACATCTCTCTCTCTCTCTCTATCTATCTAAACCCAACCGACCAGCCATTTAGAGCCTGGGTCTGCTCGAGGTTTCTACCTCTTAAAAGGAAGTTTTTCCTTCCTGTCGCCAAGTGCTTGCCTGTGGTGGGAATTATTGGGTCTCTGTAAGTGTGGTCTAGATCTGCTCTATGAAAAGTATCCTCCCTCACTCCTCAGGCAATCACAATCAATACAAGATCAATGGTTAAATGAATATATGGACTTAATATGACCTCGATTTGGATGTGCTATTCATGTGGAATTTGTGCTTCTGCTTTTGGTCCACCACTGTGGCTGAAAACACACAGTAGATACAGGTTCTACTTCCTTCCCTTGCTGGACAGAAGTAAGATATGTAATGCCGTGTCCTTCCCGATTTTACTGTAAAACTAATTCAAATCTGAGTGGAAAACAGTGTATGACAGATGTGACAGATGATAGTGGTGTGGCTTCAACGTTCAATGCCACACCTGCATCATTCAAATATATTCCTCATATCTTCCGCAGCAGGTCATATGGTCATTTTACTTATAGCAAGGGGTCGGCTTAAACAGATTAATAAGAGAGTGAAAGAAAGAAAGGCTCTTTTTAAGCAACAATACCACCACAAATCAAAATGTCTCTGTTACTTAACTTCACTGACTACTCTAATGCTACAGCTGATATCTTTCTGAAGTGTAGTTGCCAACAGGCAGGTATTACCTTCTGGATATGTATCTCTGTAGTTTGCTTTGTTTTGGGGTTTCCCGGAGTGGTTGCTGTGCTTTTGGACAAGTTTCAGAAAGTAAGAAAAGGAACCTCATTATCCCCAAATGACGTCTTTATGTTAAATCTAACTGTCATGGATGGGATTTATTTGCTCTTTCTTCTACCACAGCTGTATAACGGTGTACACTGGAATAACTTAGTGTACAGAGCACTTGCTGCCTTCATTTATACATTCAGTTTGTGTGGGAGGCCTCTCTTTCTAACTTGTATCTGCCTGGACTGTTACCTGGCTGTGGTTCATCCAGTTACATATCAGTTGAGAAAAAATCTGACTCCCAGGATCCTGATGGCTGTTGGTGTCTGGACTGCGACGGTTGCTTGTGGATGTTATCTCGCTATTGGACACTTGGAACTTTGTATTTTCCTCATCCCAATCTTGTTTTTTGTTTTGATTCTCCCTGTTAATGGATATTGTAACATTGCCATCCTCTGGACCCTAATGAGATCTAGCCCTGGAGGAACAGAAGTCCACCCCCAGAAGAAGAGGGCTCTGCAGATCATCATCAACAATATTGCTATTACCTCTGTTTCCTATTTTCCTAATTGCTGTGTGTGTGTCCCAGATTCTGAATGTGGATATAAAAACCTTTAATTGTCGTGTGGTGACTCCAGTGATTTGCATTTCCATAGTAGGAAATACAGTTTCACTCATCCTGTATTTGAGCAATCTGGGAAAACTGGAATGGCTAAAATGCTGGAAGCAGAAATGAACCTCATACAACCTTTATTTTGTCTTTTCAGTTGTGTATCATGATTATTGTAGCCACTAGCCTTCTATTTATTGGTGGAGCTGCATAATACTGTATGATATGGTGTTTATGCAAATTATGTCATTTTATTTTTATTTTCATGATATAAAGCATTTGATATTATTATAGTTGGTTTATTTGCTTGATCTGTTTCCAGTGTGATGAAAGTCCTGAGGTCAAAATTGGTCTGTGTTTTATATCAATGTGCTCGACTAAATAATTTCAATATAACATTTCTACTTTTCCTGCTTAACAGTGCTTGAAGAACGTCTTTTTTTGTTAAGAATAAGTTAATTGTAACTAAACTATTGCATGTACAATAAAGGAAGTAAATGCTGTGTCATTGTTTCTGCTGCTTTTATCTTTAGGTTTAAACCTATTTCCTCAAATGACAGCAGTTATGAGGGAGGTTACTTATTTCAATACTTCTTTAGACTTTAAACTTTATTTATAACAACAGCTTGAGAGACTACCAGGAAATCGGGAGAGAAAGAGGGTGACATACAGCAAAGGGCCACAGGTCAGATTCAAACCCTGTGGCCCCTGCAGCAAAGAATCAGCATTGGTACATGGGGCACCAACTCAACCAGGCGAGCTATCATGGCAAACCCATTTACACAATTACGTAGTCATACCAAGAAATTAGGATTATATTCAATAAATACATTTTGTGTTTCCTTCATGGGGTGTTAAATTAAACAGCATTTTTTTTGCTTCAACAATATAGGAAATACTGTATGTCACTCTATGTAATGTATGCCACCTCTTCATTTGCATAAAAGGTGATTTAATTTACCATATACAAAACACTGATGTTGACAGACGGTGGAAAGTGACAGGCGATGAATGAGTGTGATGAGATAAACACTTGCATATTCAAAGCAAGAGACATTTTCCACAGCAGGGAAGCCACCTGTTACAATGTTACACTCTATTAGTCAAGTCCAAGACCAGCTCTGGCTTGCCCCATTTGGCTTGACTGACAAAGTATTAGGTTAGTCCTGGATATTAATGATATTATTGATATAAATTATTTTTATTAGTCTGTGTTTTATTATCTTACTGTTGTGTATTAATATCATTATTATTATCATTTTGCACATAACTATATAATAATAATAATAATAATAATAATAATACCATCAAATCAAAATCAATAGATCAATCAATCACGTGATCTAGTGACGTACATGAAATCAGGAAGTAAAATTCACTGCAACAAAACGTTCTGCCTTCAAAATAAAAGCTACCAATATGTCACTTTTAAATATCTGCACTAAATCTACCCAGTAAGTAGGCTAACAAAAGAATAATTATTTCTCGAAGATAAGCAGATAGACCAGACCGAACAAATAAAACACTGTAGCTGTAAATCGATTTTTTCTGTATCGCTCAAAAACAAAAGCTTCCACAAACGAAAATTTTATTTTGAAAATGGCAACCGGAAACGTTGTGTGAGTGGTGAAACCCTGATCGGAGAGCAAAGGGAAACAGTTGGACACACAGTAGTGTAACTGTAAAACATCTTCAGGCCCCGGTTTGTCGCCACAAACTAGGAATGGCTGTCTGGTAATGTGGACCGTCGGCTGTGGAAGCCATCGATGCCGCTGTCGTCCCCCCGCCGTGCCTTTGTGAGCTCTGACCAGCCGAGACCCACCGCCATGGCCTCAGCGTTACCCCGCTGCACATCTGTCAGACTCCCCGCGGTGGCCACCGTCGTCCTGCTCCTGATGTCGGTGACCACTGTACAGTCCTCTCAAGGCGACAAGGAGCCGGTTTACCGTGACTGTGTGAAGCAGTGTGTCCGGACCAACTGCACCGGAGCTCGGCTACGGGGCTTCCAGTCTGCCCAGCCGCAGTACATGGCGCTGACAGGTGAGTTGTTGTTGTTGTTGTTGTTGTTGTTGTTGGTGGCAGGTAACTTAGGTTAGCTTGCGAGCAGTCTGTAGCAACCCCGACAGCATGCTGAATTATACATATGCTGCGTTGTAACATTTGTTAAACATATCGCTGACTGTCTTTGCCAACAGTTATCATTCACTGTGTGTTTACTCATCTGTGTAGCTGCTCCACTGCTGCAGTTCACTTTTTCACACGTAACGTTATATTGTCACATCTTTGATGCTGAATGAAACAAGTGACGCTTACTTTCATTCATTGAAACAGCCTTGAAAGTTGAAAGCCAGTTTTTCCGGCTGAGCAAGGTGTCACAATAGGCCTATTGAAACTCCACCCTCGGTCAGTCATTAACAGCTGTACAGTCTGACTGTGTGAGGTTTGAACATGAAACAAATTGGCACTTGACACAGTGTAATCCAGCCTAAAAAGACTAAATTAAAACAAGTGCCTCCTTCTCTCCAGCTGCAAATGAGAACAACACATTTTTAGGGCTGCCATTAACCATTGTTTGTTATTAGTGATTAATCGGCCCATTATTTTCTCAGTTTATTGACTAAATATATGGTTTATGAAACATCAGACACAATTACGCAGAATACAAAAGGTGACATCTCAAATGTCTTGTTTTGTTTGAGCAACCGCATTACTCCCAAATAATTATTTACATTGATATAGAAGAGAGGAAAAACTGAGATTATTATTTTAAATGTTCATCTCGCTGGACTCATTGTTTCAGCTTTATACCAAATCTAAACAAAAATCCTTATGTATTTCATTGTTGGATGTAATCTATTCTATTGTCTGTAAAGCAAACTGAACTTGACCCTTTGACCTGTGTCAATGCCTGTCCGTGCCCTCACCTCCTCTCTCTTTGTTCCTGTGTTCCAGGTTGGACATGTCGTGATGACTGTCGCTACCAATGCATGTGGACCACCGTGGGGCTTTATCAGGCCGAGGGGTACAGGGTCCCACAGTTCCACGGCAAGGTTAGTGCTTCCTACAGAGGCCAGTATGAATATCACACAGTTATACAGTTAGTACTCAAAGTTAGAATGTGTTCACAGCCGGCTGCGTTAGAACGAAACTGTAAATGTCGGTATTGGTTGGTTTTGTCTTAACCGATTTGAGTCAACAATTGTGAAATAACGAGTCGTATGTTTTATTTCTTATAGTGGCCGTTTGCGCGCTTCCTGTGTTTTGAGGAGCCAGCTTCTGCCCTGGCCTCTCTGCTCAATGGCCTGGCTTGCCTTCTAATGCTGCTGCGCTATCGGAGCACGGTGCCACGCCAAAGCCCGATGTACCACACCATCAACGCCTTCTCTCTGGTGAGATGGAAAAGAAATGAAACTTAAACACCAATAAATACACCAATACTACCTCGTCTTTCTACAAGTGTCATGACACTTTTACTGTGTGTGTTTCTTTAGGTTTCTCTCAATGCCTGGTTCTGGTCCACAGTGTTTCACACCCGGGACACGTATCTAACTGAGGTAATGTTTCAAAGATGCACTTCCAACATGGGCTTTCTCTTGAAGTTTTATTTCTCTCTACCTGGCTGATGAGATGAATAATCTCTCGCCTTTCAGCCCCGGTTTGGTCCACTTACTCCTGAGAAAGATATAAGTTCAGTCAGCTCGTGAGCTCACAGCAGTCGATCGCTGTTTATATGGAGGACTTGGACTCAGTATGCATACCAAAACACCAGTTGATCCAACTTTATTGAGTGGAAAAAATAAAATATTAAAATATCTTATAGCTAAAATGTCTTTCCAACTGCCAGACCACCTCCTGAGACGACCTCTGCTGTGTGCAGTATATTTTCTATAACATACAACAGGCCCGTGTCTTTTTTCTCTTGATATTGATTTCTGTTGTCAATAAGAGTCTGTATGTGTTGTTCTCTTTCAGAAAATGGACTATTTCTGTGCAACGGCAGTCATTCTGTACTCGATCTACCTATGCTGTGTCAGGTAAGCTCTAAAACAGGTTTTCCACGTGACCTACAAATGTTTTAATTTGTCCCATGATAGAAGAAGGAAATGGAACTGAAATCACATCTTTATCAATGATTGACCCTGGGTAATAGTTCCTGGATGAAGTTTTGATATTTATGATAAGAACGAGTGAATATTTACTTTAACTGAAGTCACTTTATATTATAGTTAAAGTAAAAGTCAGAACACTTTCTGTTAATCCATTATTTCTGTTAACTCTGTGTTCCCCCTCTCTTCGTCAGAACATTGGGTCTGAGGCGACCTGGGGTGTCCAGCATGGTGGGAGTGCTGCTCATCTTGGCCTTTACCTCGCATGTGTCCTACTTGACCTTTGTCAGTTTCGACTACGGCTACAACATGGCTGCTAACGCCACTATCGGTACAGTAAATGCTCAAAAGGTCACACTAACGCTCAGATTTGGTTGGTTGTAATGGCTTATTTTTAATAGTTAGTTAATAGTATTTTTTAGTACTTTTCTTTTCCTGGATTGTTCTTGTTTCTCATTTCCAATTTTCCAGTTTTGTTCAGTCTGCAGTTAGAACAACTTATATCATTCTTGGTTATCAAGTTTATTCAATTTCAGGTTACTGTCTTAAGATGACTCTTACCTGGTGCCCTGTCCTTCAAATGGCTTGTTTCTTATCTTTTAAAATGTATTTTGTCTTTAAAGGCATGGTGAACCTCCTGTGGTGGCTGTGTTGGTGCTGGCAGAACCGGCGGACCCTGCCATACTGGTGGAAGTGCGGCCTGGTGGTGCTGCTGCTTCATGGTCTGGCCCTGTTGGAGCTGCTGGACTTCCCTCCAATGCTCTGGATCCTAGATGCTCACGCTGTGTGGCACCTGAGCACCATACCAGTCCACTTCCTTTTCTACAGGTTCGTGACGCTCACCTGCTCTGCCTTCGTTTCGTTTGCAGCTTTCCTGCAGAGAAGCATTTCAGGCAGTGACTGAAAAAGAAAGGAAGATCGTGTTTTTTCCTACCTCATAAATGATCCTTGCTTCTTTCTCCCTCCAGTTTCCTGATAGATGACAGCCTCTATCTACTAAACACAGAGAAGATGGGTGTCAAAGTGGAGTAGGAGGAGCTCATCACCTCTTCACCACGCCTACACCCTCGCACCTCTCCAATCAGGGCAGCCGAACACGGAAGTAGCTCAGCCTCCCAGATGACATGCATGACAGCATTATGACTTCCATCAAAGTAGACTTTGTTTACATTTCTCGTTTTAATTGTTTCGTTTTTATGGATAATTTCTTTCTTCTTTTAGAATGATCAAGATTGATGTTTGCTCTACTTATCTTTGCCTTGTACTGACGTGCTCTACGGTTCTTTTGCCATTCGCAAAAAATGACTTCAAAACAGGATGCAAGAAAAGGTTTACCACAGCAGACCCAGTTTTTGACTTCCAGTTGGGATGCATATCCTGTTTCTTTTGACTCTCGGGTACTTTGAAATTGAATCTCTGCACCCGCGATTTGACTCTCACCAGCCTCTTGGAAGTCCGACATGTTAGTTTCTGCACAAATGGCAGTTTGCGGTGGCTGACAATAGATGGCACCAAATCTCTTGTCAGGCCATCATAACCTACTACTGTGTGGTACAGCATGTGTCAGGGTCCATCTGTGCCAAAAGTGGACTGGCGGACACAGAGAGGTGCCCCTTGTGAAGGGAGATTGTTCTAGAGAGAGGGGGAAGGGGGTTTATGTTTGGAGGCCATACTAGCTGACTGTGTTTTTTTTTTTCTTTTCTCGCCATCACACCTTTATTTTTGTGCCTCTGTTGTTTCCACTGCTGCTTTTGTGTCTCTTCTTTATAATTTCAGATCTTCATTCTCATCAGCTGCCTTTTCAGTCCTTTTGTTTGTCTTCGACCAATTTGTGCTTTAATCTGTTGACAGTTTTACTTTGATTACTTGATTTTGAATTTGGGTGGGATATGTCTGATGATCATAAGATGGAAATGTTACACTTATTCACCTGGATTGCCTTTAAGTGTGAGGAAAAGGAGAAAATGATTGAGGTAGGAATAATAAGCTACAGCAGGAAGCTGCAGTCAGTGGGGCTTTTTATTTTACATCAAGAGTTTCTAATAAATTCTGGGGTTAGGTGGTGTGTGTGAATGAGTGTTCACGTGTTTGTTTGACGCCCATTATTTGGATTTGGTTGCATTTGTTGGTGTAATATTTCCCAGAATGGCACACACACACACAAAACCAGCTGCTTTACAGATAACTGCCCCATCATGTAAAATACTCCTTTTTGTTTCCCTCCATGTCTGCCTTACACACTGTATCATAACTTGCTTGTCAATGACAATATTTCTTTTTTTTAATCAGATCTTTTTTTGCTCTCAAAGTTAGCACCATGCTCTTGAATTCATACCACGTATGTCTTCATCCCTCAGAGTTTCCCTTCCATATGTGCACTTTACGTGTGAGTCTGTACATTTACATGCATTTTTTGTTTGAAATTCTGCCCATGCCTTTTGTATTTCTGTGCGAGAATGTGAACAATGACCAGTACGTGTGTACACATTGCCTTGACTCGACATTGTGTTGTTTTTGCCATCATAAACTGAATCACTGTGTGTGTGTGTGTGTGTGTGAGAAAGAGAGAGAGCTAGATTGTGCTTGATCCTTTTCTAAAGCGACTGATGTGTGAGAATGTCTGTGTGTGTATGTTGGAGGTTTGCTGCGTGAATATGTGTGAGACGACGGGTAAATTTAGCTTTGCTGACAGCCTGTGATGGGGGTGGGGGAAGACCGAGGGCGACAGACATGGAGAGGTTGTCGTAGGTTTGGGTGGCAAAAAGATTCCAGAAATCACAGCAGAAATACTGAGCTCATGAGATAAGAAACGTTATATAGTGCATATTGTAATTGTTATGGGCCAAGATATATTATCAAAAGTAGTAATGTTTATAAAGCACTGAGATTCATAAAAAGGTGTCTGTGGCCCAATTATGACAAAAGACATACTTATAAAAAGCTAAAACAAGACTTGTTTGAACAAAATCTAATTTCAGTTTACCACAAAATCATTGCCAACTCAAAACTGAAAGTGTTTTGTCTTCTGATAGAAAACTTGTTAAATAATTTCACTGGTATTTGTTTTAATAAGTTGAAGATTTCCTGAGGAATTAGCATGAAACAATCTCCAAAGTTTTTGCTCTGTAAATCATTTCACTGTTTACTTCATTCTTCCTCACTAATAACCTCCTGTTGTCTCACTCATCTGCTGCCCCCTGCCTGCTGCCCTGTGCACATCCACCTCTCCTACTGAGTGCACTCTCCTCCACCTCACATCTAATAGTTGACCAAAAAAAAAATCTGAAAGAAATTGAGCAAATAAAAGTATTCTTTGTTGATAAGGAATGGGGCTCGTTGTGTCTTTTTTTCCCCCTCCAACTTGAGAATTTCTGTCCTGTAAATGTGATTCTCTTCACAGTTTCAGTGTCCTGTAAATATGCATAAACATGGGTAGACTAAAGGAATACTAAATACTGTACATACCAATGACTGATAGCTGTTGGGCACTAGTGTCTCCGTGCACTGCTCATAGTTCATTTTGTTCATTTAAATGCAGTCAATATATAACAATGTAAAAATACTTCTATACAAGTCGTGCATTCAAACTCAAGTAAAAGCACAACTATTATCAGCTAAAAACGTTGTAAGTGTTAACACTGATGTACCAGTTGCATGGTACTGTTGCAGTTAAGTTTAGTCCAGTGTTCATGAAGAATGTGAGAGAATTAAGTAGGTAAGAGGAAAAATGTATCTCATCTTTACTTTTTTGTGAAATGTTGGATAATTCTACCTCATTTGGCCTCAAAAGTTAATTTAACTTAGAAACTGCTGGTTTAATACTCTATATAACAATGCATTATATTTTATAAGCTCATCACATTTATTTTATATAAAATACTATTTTTAAAAGTAAATACTTGTAGTGGAGTAAAAATATTATATAATATTTCCCACTGTAGTGTAGAAGTGAGTAAATTGACTTAGTTACATTCCACCACTGCATAACAACTTGTTT